GGCTAAAAAAAGGAAACTACAGGCTGACTATAGGCTGTAACAGCAAACTACAAGCTGTAACTACAGGCTGTACACTAACAGAAGCTACAAGCTGTACACTAACAGAATTTCCTAATCTTAGTCATTGACTATCTATATTTACACCCCTACCATATCCCCTAAAATCTAGTCTTATTAAAACCGAGTATCTCTTTTTCAACAATAAATGACACAAAATAACGAGCACCAAATAAACCAAAAGGTTTTATACTCTTATTATCAAAATGAGACTTAAAAGTAACCCGACGATGTTTACTAAGTTCGCAAGTAGCATAATTAAACTTAGAAAAATCATCTAAAGAAGAGACCAAGACTCGAAGACTATTTGAAGATAGATGTTCAAGGCTGCGATGCCATTGATAAGATGAAGAGGAGGTGGAATGTAGAGCTGTCGGAGCAAGAGTCGACTAGAAGTAGTAAAGACCATCCTTCTCAAATCCCCCACTAATCGTCTTCTTTGTCTTAAGATCCTAAAAGACACAACGGGGAAGGAGAAAAAATAACTGAGCAATTTAAATCTGATATGATTTTGCGAACTAACAATAAATTGAATGAAAATTGAGGGCTATATAAAACTGATGAAAAAGTGAGACCCAAAGTGCGCAGGGTACCAATTTGTTGGTCCCATATTTGAATTAGGGTTTGCCCTTTTAAATGTCAAAAAGCTATCAAAGGTCCAATTCTCATAACTTAAAGTGTTTCTGGTATACTCGGTGCATTATAGAGGCTTACAGGGGTAGCATTGTCATTTTACATTCATGAGATATCACTTGAGATAGCTTGAGGAAGCTACATTGTGTTGACAATGCTCATTACAGGCAAATGAAGGTTTACAGGACTGGTTTAGAAGGTGATATTTGGCTACAGAAGGATTCAGGGGCAAAGGGGTCATTTTACTCATGTATCATATCATTTTACACTTTCCTGGGATACTGCATTGTATTGCATTGCTCAGAAATTCAATTTGATCAAGTGTTCACAACTGCAGCTACAGAATTCTGTATATATTGACAAGTGTCCCTTCCAGGGGTAATTTGGTCATTGTAGATGTTGATCATCTGTGTGACACGAGTCCTGTGGTCCTAGTGTGAGAAAATGAGGCTTGTTATGCATTGCTTAGTGATTAAGCATGATATATATTGTTAATATTCTCATACACACAAGCTGTCATTTGCATGTGCACTAGAGGATAAAGGAGTGAGTTGTACAAGGGGTATTGTGGTCCTTTTGCTGAAGGAATGTCAGAATATTCCTTAGCCAATCATTGGCAGATGGTTCCATGTGTATTTCCTCATTAGGGTAGGAATTTGAGCTCAAGGTTCACTATATATATCCTGTTATAGCATTGTGCCTCTTCAAGCCTTGTGTGAGCACCCTTGCGAGCATCCTTGTGACCTATATTGTGAACATACTCAAGACACCAAAACAATGACCATTTCCTGAGTTCTAAGACCTAGTTGTGAGCTGAATTCACCTCAGAAATGTGTATTGAGTGTATTAGTACTGGATGATGATGAAAATGCTTAGTCGCAGCTGTTTTCTGGTGCAAGAAGGCCTAGTTTGAGTAGTTTAATTTTGTTCCAGCCATTTCCAGAGGTGCACAAGGTCTAAGGCAAGTTTGGTTCACCTTTTTACATCTGTAGGGTGCTTGGTTGTGACTAATTTATTGCTTTAGTTTCATTTGATATCTCAAGACCTGTGTATATGCCTGTTTCACTGGTTTAGCTTGTTGATTTGAACTTATAATCATTATATCTTGTTGTGAGTTGCTCTATTATCATTTGAGCAAGTTTCTATAGTTGAATCAAGGTTGTTGAAGTTGATCTCTACACAGAAATATGGTCATATGAGATTTTGACCTAGCAAAACCCTAGTTCTTGAAACTTACCAAAAAAAATAAAATGAAATACCCTAGTTCTTGAAGCTTTCTGCTATATAAGGCTTGTTTGTGGACTGTAATTGTATATACATGCTACATTCATCTTGATTACCATCTGAGCATGTTTATGAAGATATAAGGTTGTGGAATTCATCTCTTGGTCTATGTTCATTCGAATTTTCAATTTTACCCTTAGACAATGAAGACTAGGTGCTGTTAGTTGCTACCTTGAGCTTTGTTTTTTCACTCCTTTCATTTGTATAAGCTAAGGTAGAGTTGTTATTCACATCTTTCATATATTTGGTGAGCTGTGAGAGCTCAGAGGGTCAAAGCAGGGATGCTTAGGACAGGGGGAGTGCTATTGAGCACCAAGTGGAGATAATGTGTGTAGAGGCTGTGAAAACTAGTGTTTCATTTTGTACAAGGGTGTGTGCAGAGAGTGAGACAACTGAGTGTGTAACAACTTGCATTCAACTAGTGGATTTGCATTAGCTGAGGCCAAGAACCAAGGTTTTTTATTCTTGTAAAACCAATGTGTACGTGTGGATGATTGTGTGTGCCTCAAACTGCATTATATCTTGGCTAAGTGTCAAAGAAAATTAGTACAAGAACCAATTCACCCCCCCCCCCCCCCCTCTTTCTCGATTCAATACAATTCCATGAGCAGGGTTACCTGTCATGTGGTTGGATGCCCCTGAATCTATGATCCAAGGTGCAAAAGATGAAGTATGAAGACAGGTATTACCTAAAGTAACAATAGTAGTCGTGGAGGAGGGGGCTAATTTGCACGCTCACGCTTTACCAAAGTATCATACTCAGCTTTGGAGAGAATTACTTGTTCATTCGATGGAGTAGGAGTAGTATCCCCCTAAACCGAAGCCCGATTAGCCCAAGCTGGCATGCCATGAAGAGCCTAACAAAAATCAATAGAGTGATTGTTTCGGCCACAATGAGTACGCTTCTTGCTGTCGCGACCCCCTTTGTCGTCACAAGTACCATGGCCTGGGTTGGAAGAACCTTTTCCCCCTCGTCCTCCACGAAAAGTATCATATTGCTTAGTAGGAACAATAAGAGCATAGTGGTTTTCCTTCTCAATCACAAGGACATAAATAGAAGCTCTTCGAACTCGAGCAAAAGTCTCACTGGTTGTCGGTATCTCCTTGCCGGACAAAATTTGCAAACTGGTCGGAGTAAGTTCGGGTTTAAGTCTAGATAAAAACTTCGCCACCTGAAACTCTTCATTGTGTTGTTTCTGTTTTTCTACGTCAGTAGTCAATGGTTGGTATTAGGAGATTAAAAATGTCCTGATACGTGAAATATTCTTCTCCGAAGAATACATGTCCCTGAGATTATCCCATATATCTTTGGCAGATTCTAGGAATGACACGTTATTGAAGATTTTCCCAAGTCATAATTTGAGCATCTTCTTTCTCCCAAGCCTCAATAATCTTTTCATCAGTGGTAGGTTCGGTTGATTGAAGATAGGACAGTTTTCCTCAAACTCGCAAGAATGCCTCTACGACTCAAGACCATTGAAGGTAGTTCAAGCCTTTCGATTTGGTGCTGGTGATTGACCTAAGAAGATGAGAGTCCTTCGTCCATAATGAGGGTTGCCAAACAAATAAGAGATAGTAGCAAGAAGGAGCCGAGATGAGAGAACCAATATCAAGCTGAGATGAATCCGAGAGAAATTGTTGAGGAGAGAGCCGAGGAGGGATCTGAAAGAGGTTGCCAACACGAGAACCGAGACCACCGAGGAGGAATCCAAGAGATGTTGCCAAGACGAGAACTGAGATCGCCAAGAAGAGATTGTCGAGATGGAATCAAGAACGGAGTCTGAATAAGACTGTAAAAAAAAATTCAAAAGGGATCGATTTCCGCCCTGATACCATGTTAAGAGAGAGAATATATGAAAAAGTATTTCTTATTGAGTGAATAATACAATAATACAATGGTGTTTATATAGGAAAAGCTACAGGAGTAGGTGAGTGGAGAACGAGTAAACCTTATACATGGTAATGCTAATGAGGGGTTGGTGAAGGCGGCTACAGAATACAGAACATATTAGTAAAACCATATACATAGTAATGCTATAATAGGTAATGAGGGGTAGGTGAAGGCGGCTACAGAATATAGAACATACTAGTAAACCTTAGTATACAATGTAATCTAATTGTACATGTGTGACAACTCATACAATACTGTACAACATAAATATATACACACACACACCAAATTAAACACTATTGAAAGGTTGAGCTTCTGAGCTACTAAGCTCTCCCAGAGCGAATCTTTCTCTAGATTTGGAGGAGGCCCCTTTGAAGAATTTGAAGAAAGAAAAGAGAGAAAAACAACCGATGCACGGATTATTCCCCTCTCCACAGCATATTGTAATTCAGCCAAGCTCATCAACTCCAAAGGAAGGCGGAATTTCTTGCAAACAAGCCTACTAATACTAAGTAATATAATGAATATTGAGTAGATAATGAATTTATTGCACAAGCGTACCAATACATTGCAAGTAATATGCTTTAAGTTTCAATCTTTTAAGTATTGTAAATAGTCTTCGATGCAGGGTTTCTAATCAGGGGAAGTTGTAGAATCACCCATGATGGCTATTTTAGTGTATCAGTTCAGGACACTCAAATTGTACCCCCCTAGCCCCCTAACACATAGCGCTAATAGTTTGGTTGTAGCAACTAGTAGTTTAATAGGTAGGTTGGTTGATTCGATGTTTAGTCGTGAGCCCGGATAAAAAAAATAAAAATAAAAATAAAAATTTGAGTGGCAGCAGTTGCCCCCACTGAACACTGTGTGGCTCTGCTGGTTATGCTAGGGTATTCTGGACTTCTTTTCTTTCTCGAGACAATGTGAATGATATCATGGAGAGGTAACTGGATCTTACTGGAAACAATGAATCATGAAAATTCCGTACTTTTCTCATTCAATTTAGAGTATCTAAACACCATTCAACATTGAGACAACACTCCGAAGCCGAATTCATGAAACTAATAAAATAACTAAGATGTTGGCTCAATGCATAAGAATGAGAAGTTTAAATACATAACATCAAAACACGAACCTGAAACATCTTCTCTGCCACGTAATCTCTGCAAAACTTGTTTTGCCTCAAGCATCCTCCCTTTACTCACAAGCCACCGTGGAGATTCAGGTAAATATAGCACCGTTAAGGCAAAATAAACAAGAGAGGGAATAGAAAGAACTCCAAGCATTAACCGCCAGCTTGGTGAGGCCATCAGAGACATTCCAAAAACCATGCAGTATGCTAAAAACATTCCACCAGAACCAGTGAACTGCGGAAGAGTATTTAACGATCCTCTTATATCAGAGGGTGCAGTCTCAGATATATAGACTGGGACAAGAGTGACTGCCAAACCAATCCCAAATCCATCTAATAGCCTTGCTAAAAGTAGGACGTAGATATTAGGTGACCACAACATTATCAAACCACTAACAAAATAGAATATCGACGACATTATAAGCATTGGACGCCGACCTAGCCAGTCTGATATGGGTCCGGAGCAAGTTGTGATTAGTGTGGCTCCAATGAGTGACATGGCCACAACAAGACCTTCGACACTAGTTCCTAAACTGAGTTCATCCACTATGTAAACCACAGCTCCTGCAAGTTAAGAAATATTTACCATTAAAAAAATAAAAAAAAGTTAAGAAATATTACAAGATAAAGTTACAAGTGTTCCTCTACTAAGTAATGAAACATTGAGAAACTATGAGTGTTCTTCGTGGAGACTGGAGGGAAAGAAAATTAAGAAATGGACAAGAAGGTATAGAAAAAATGTGCTATTGTAGTTAAACCCAAATAACAGATTCTACTACCACAAAAGTTTCACTACCAAATTCCAATGCACATAAACTACTTTACCAGTAATTCAGGTATCAAATCACCTCGTGCTAACTTGGAAATTTTAAATTCTACATCTGGCATTTCTTGGTTAGATTTAAACTAAGAGCACAATTAAGAAGATTATAAAGAAGCAGCATGAGTGAGTGTGTACCTGCAATAGTAGCATTATCCCAACCTTGCAAGAGGTTACCAATTGTAGCAACAATAGCCACTAGCGCCGCCTTGTTCATGTTCTTGATCAATGAAGTGAATTCCCAATCTTCTGACTAACCTGTACCAGATAAACCAGATCAGCAGCAGATCCAACACAAGCATTCTCACCCCCACAACTAACCCAGATCTGCTATACTCATCAGTAACCCAAATCACTGCATAAACATTGAATTATTAACGTTTGAATCATTCAATTTTAGTACCAAAAAAGTAATCCCCATGGTCACAGTAAAAAAAAAGCCAAAAAAAAAAATTGCCAAATTTAATGCCACTGTACCCACAAACTCAGCAACATAAAAAGCAACAACTAAAAAGAGACTATAACCATCACAAAGTCAAAACACCCAAAAAATTCAGGGATCCCTGAGAAAGAAAGATTTTGTACCTTTTTGAACCCAGAAAGGTCCTTCAAAAGAGGGAGGGAGAGAGAAGTGTAACCGTGACTCCTATAAGTGGAGCTGACTGAGACGGGTTTCCTTCTACTGAAGAGCTTAACATAAATAAATATCTGGAAAGAGGCAAGCTGGCTTTCTTAGATGGAATATTGAGTGTGCAGACAAAAAAATAGTAGACCCTTCAAAATTTTCCCAAGAAAGAGGTTAAAAAGAGAGCAGACCCACCAACCCTTCAACGCCTGTCAAACAGTCCCCCACCAATTTCAGTCCTCAATATTCTTTCCTCCTCTTCTGCCTCTCCAACTCGAAACAGTACTTTTGCTTTCTTTCAACCCCCAACAAATTCATAGGAAAAAACTTCAAATTTCTACCACCAAAGAATTCATAGGAAAAATCAAATAGAAGAATTTGCAGAAATTTCAAGAAACTAATTCAATTCAGCAAACAGCCTTCCAAGCAGACCTTTTTCATCGAGAACCATCATGGCTTTAAATCATCTATTTTTTTTGGTGTTTTGTTTGCTTTCATTTTCTGCTCTCTGCTCTATTATTATTGTTGTCACTGTCAGTACTTGATTCGCTTGATAAAACGGTCAGCCTCCTCTTTCAACTCCTCTCTGTCATTTTTTTCTTCTTTTCTTTTGCTTGTTACATTTGAATTCCTCAAAATCTTTTCCCCAGATAAGAGGAAAGGGAAAAGTGTACAGGTCATACTTACATTCTTGCCCTAAGTTACACAAATGTTTTAAACGGTGTCGTTTGATTATTTTTCTTTTTCTTTTTTTTTTTTTTGGGAATTTGTAGGAATGTACTTATATTTATTAATAAAATTTTGATTCACACAATCTGTAAAAGCATTTGTAACTTAAAAGTTACACAATCCTTCTAATAAATGTAAATGTGTTTTTACGTTCCGAGCGCGTTTCTGGTCTCACTAACTTAATTTTGCCATTTTTAACTTTTTATGCGTACGCTCTAATTCTTATAATTTGTCACTTTATTTTGTCGTTTTTACGATCCCGCTCTCAAATTCGTCTCGCTCATTTCGCTCCCGCTTTGTGTGACTTAGTTTGTAACTAATTGTGTAGGTGATTTTTGTCTATTATTAGGAATTTTAGGTTTTTATCGGATAACAAATAGTTTTGAATTTCAGAATTTATTCAAAATAACCACGCTTTGAGAAAGCGTTTTTGTTCACACTCTCACTTTGTATGATAAAAATTTTGCCATTTTGGCCACTTTCCCTTTAGTTTTCACTTTCACAGTATATGACTTAATTTTTTATTTTTTTATATATTTTTTGATTTTTTGTTTTTTTTAATTTATTTTTTAATAAATAAATCACACATGTGCCCAATAAACTCTTAAGTCTCAACCTTTTATTTAATTAGTCCTCATTAATTAGTTACTAAAAGTTATATTATTAATAGTACAAAAATTAATGTGTGCCATATAATAGTCCTGGACGATAGTTTCAATTAATTACTGGAAAAAGAAAAGTATTAAAATGAAATTACATGTACTCGTAAAAAATAATACATATTAATAAATTTTTTGAAAGAGAAAAAGAAAAATGACCCAGGTATACTCTATTTTATTAAACTTTTACATAAAAAAATAATTGACCAACAACTTTAGCATGTGTTCATATTATATCCACAAATTTTCATTTACAGATCAATTTAGTAAGATGTAATATGAAAATATATTAGGGCAAAGTATATAAAACCTTTCTCGGCTTATAATCTTTTCCAATAAATTTCTTGTCTATTTTTTTACCAAAGAATTTCCCTCGACTTGTATCATTTTTCCAATAAATCCCCCTTGTCTAATTTTTTTACCAAAAAACCCCCCTCAACTATCTGAAGGGGGTAAAAGAGTTGATAATTGGACTAAAATACTCTTTTATTTAAATATTAATTCTCCCGAACTTCAAAAATTCATATCTTACAAACCGTACATTTAAAAATTATAAATAATATATGTACGGAAAGCTTATAAAATAAGGATTCCAAATATAAGATTTATACAACAAACCTTCATAACCAGAGAAAAATAGGAAATCTAAAAATCTACTCCAACAATCTTATTTTATTTTTAATAATTAAAATACTCTAGATATTTGCAAGAAAATTTTTAGAATTATTCTTTTACATATAGAGCTGAATATATAAAAAAAATTAACCCTAACAGAGATCAATTTCATGATATATCATATTTTGCGTCAAAGCATTTTCATTATTTTATAAATTCGCCATTTAAAAAAATATAAAAATGAATATTCAGTCTCTATTGGGGCTAATTTTTTTATATATTATGCTCCATATGAAAGTGAATAATTTTGAAAATTTTCTTTCAAATAACCCGAATATTTTATAAAAAATAAAATAAAATAAAATTATTGCAGTAGATTTTAGATTATCTATTTCTCTCTGGTTATGAAGTTTTGTTAAACAAATCTTATATTTCTAGAATATTTGTTTTATAAGCGTTTCGTGCATATATTACTTGAAATATTTGGATGTATGGTTTGTGAGATTTGAATTTTTTAAGTTTGAGAAAATTAAGATTTAAATAAAAGGGCAATTTGGTCCAAATATCAACTCTTTTATACCCTTTAGATAGTTGAGGAGGGTTATTTGTGTTGGGAAACGTGCTAGTTTTAAAAACTTTTCGAGGGATTTAAATTCATAGATCTTGATTCATCACATAGAGACAAGTTTTATGCAAAAAAATAAAATAAAATATGATGTATTATTCAACTAAAAGATTGAATACTTACATCAAGGTTTGAGTAAACCTCAGATCTCTCCTCTAAAGTGAATGTTCTCACTTATTGTAGATCCCTTTTGCTAGATGCATTCTCCTTGGATCTCCATCTTCTTGGTAATTGTTTTGCCTTTATGAATCACTCATATGCCTCCATGAATGTCCTTGGAAAACTAGGCTTGTGGGAGCCTCCATTAGATGAGAACATAAACCCTAATTTTCTAGAGAGAGAAAATTTATTCCTTTTTCCTTCTCATAAAAATCACCCCCAAAAATATACATAGACCATGTATATTTATAGACAACATAAAAATAAAGAAAAGGAAACAACAAATCCTTCTCCATCTCTAATTCATATGTCTCAAATCTAATATGATTCCAATATCAAGTTGGGCTATGAGTGAGAATCCATTGGGCCTATTATTTTATTGGCTACAATGAATTAATAATTGGCCCGGTCCATGGACCCAATTCAATTAATTCATAAATTAATTTCTACTCCACTAAAAGAAATTAATTGAACTCCAATTAAATAATAAATAACTTCTAAGTCAATATTGCACTTTGACCCCTCTATGCATAATTAGTTATCGGATAAATATAGCCATCAATCCGACTCTTTAATTAATATATTTATTTTGGTACCTTTGATTATTTCTGGCTCGATCACAATAAAACATTTGTTTGACAAAAATAATAATTTAAATAAATAAATATATAATAAATCATTTTGTCTAAAAACACACGAAGGCCTTCGAATTTACTTTGTGATCAACCATAATCAATACAAAATAAATACAAGTAGCAATGATGCAAATATTGAAAATATAACCCTCTAACTATTAATTACATAACTACCCAAAGTGTCGGTCTAAGGATCCCGAAGAATCCGCCGAACAAATCAAAGTAATTATTAATTAATAAAAGAGTCTATACTTTTCTCATGCTTAAGAGTCAAATGCCATGACGGTGATAGGGAGTAATTGCATACGACGGCTCTCGCAATATATCTCAACCTAACGCGGATCCAGTTCAAGTCTTAATTAATTATGAGTCCATCCATAATTACCGACTATGAACAATTTATAATTACTATTTATATATCATGCATTGATTGTCATCACATACATATATATAAATATTTCTTGTAATTAACTGGACACTATCAATTTCATAGTGAATTGAAACATAATACATTGAATTCACCAATTATATAAATCATAAATATTTCAGATATGTCGGAACATATGTCAATACAATCCAGATAGGAATTCGCTATGCCAGGGCATATAAATCCCAACAGCTCCCACTTGCCCTCATAGCCAATTCAAATTGCACCTAACTCCAATGTTATCCAGATGATGATCAAAATTATTGATCAATCACACCTTTGATAATGGATCAACAAAGTTGTGTTCCAATGCAATGTTTTAACTACAAGTGCATTTTCTTGCCGGACAATATCATGTCGAACATGATACTTCCTCTCAGTGTATCTTGTTCCTCTATGGAACCTTGTGTCATTGGTTTGGACTACTTCTGCACTATTGTCACAATATAGCTCGATAGGCAGGCTAGTATGCTCCACAACCTCTAAATCAGTGAGATCAAACCAATAGGCTTATATTGCCACCTTTAAGGCTGCAATATGTTCCACCTGCAGGTTTGAGTCAACAGTTGAAATCTGTTTGACAATCTACCAACTGATTTCCCTTCCATTAAGTGAACATACACTAAGTCATGAACCTCATAGTATCTACTTCTGATTGAAAATCAGAACTAGCATACCTGACTAGGACAATATCATCACATCCATAAATGGGTATGATATCATTGATTCTCCTTAGGTACTTAATGATATTTTTCACAATAGACCAGTTGTCAAGTCCAGTATTGGACTGATCTCTACTGACTATCCCTACCATGTAGCGGATGTCCTGTTTGGTATAGACCATGGCATATATGAGACTCTCATATGCCGAAACATATTGTTCCAGTCTCATTTGCTCAATCTCCTCTGCTAGTCTTGAAAAACTACTTACTAGAGAGAGCGATCCATATCAATAAAGCAAGAACTCATTCTTTGAGTTATGCATACCAAACCTGGTCAAAACTTTATCAATGTAGGATTATTAAGATAAGCCTATTTTCCTTTTAACCTGATCTTGCAAAAGCTTGATCCTAGGAATATAGCTTACATCTTGAAATTCCTTCATTTAAAAGTAATTGAACAACTACCTTATAATTGATGACAAAACTTCCACGTCATTATAAATGAGTAGGATGTCATCAATATATAGAATTAAGAAAAATAATAACATTCCCTTGTATACTCATGATTTATTCACTAAGAAATCTTCTGGTATCTTTTTGTAGATTAACTTGCCTTCCATAGGAATCACCCTACTAGAAAGTTCTACAAGATCCCAGAATTTATTAGAATACATAGATTCCAACTCTGATTTCATAGTAACTCACCAAAACGATCTGTATCCACATCAATTCACGCTTCCGTGTAGCTTACTGGGTCCAACTCATGTTTAACAGGGATGTCCATAATGGTCTCACCTAAAAACATGATTCTGTCGAATTGGATGATAATCCTCCCACTACATCAATGTACCGATGCAAGAATCTGTGTAGTAGATGATGCTAACGCATCAATAGGGAATTCATATATTATTCTCAATCTCTATAATAAGTGTGTTCACATGTGGTACACCTGGTACTCATACCAAATTCTCTAACATTATGCTACTAGGTATGTGATTCATAATATGATTCTCCTATAGATAAACAGTGAGTGAAAACAATCAACTTTTATCTTTGAGATCATAAAATAATCCATCCTAGTGACATTTAGAGTAGCTATCAAATCTAGCATGCCTATGATCTGCTTCCAACT